TGCTTAGATAAGAATTCGAAATTTATTCATACGTAGCCAGATATTCAACCAAGCCTAATTTTCATAGGCATGTCAAACTTACAATAGATTATGAACTTCGGCCTGTGTACTTTTGTTTTTTGTATACGAATACTATGATACTAATTGAATGAAAGTAGAAGATTGTCTTTGAAAAAAGATAAGGAAGTAATGTATAAAAACAAATCACAACTGAGTAAATATAACATGTGTCTGTCAAAAATGAATAAAAACATTACAACTTAGAGAAAAATGTTTGTTTTGTAGTGAGAATGTTTTAAATAAATTTGATAAATTTGTTAGAGAAGATATATCAACTCCCACCTTATTATGACAATATAATTATAAATCAGACAACAATAAAATTTGACTGATCGAGCATGTAACAGAATAATAATCACCAATTAGAAAATGTGAATAATAACTTAGTGAAACAAACTAAATAAATGTGAAAGATCAATAATGTAGTCACAATCTATTATGATTCATGATTATTTCTAATCGAAATGTAAATAAAAAAAAGTCATTTCTTATTATCTAGCGAGAAAGATACCATATTGTGTAGTTTGATAGTTACCTGAACTGAAAAAAAAAATTATTATAGAGTTGCACGGACTCTTTGACTTATGAGCAGCTCGACAAATCAAAATCTATGTCAGTTTTTCTTATACAAGCTCTATGATCTAGTTAGATCTCTGGTGTATAATTTATATAAAATAAACAATATAATTCTCATTGGAATTTATCTATAGACTATTTTTTAACGAATGTTCATGATTAAATTAATTTCTTAGTATTTTACTCATATTCCTTTGTCAAACAAAAATATTTGATGTTTTAGACAAAAACACAAGTATAATAATGTATAAACGAAGTCAATGTTTTTCTATATCTAAACTGTCAGTGATTAAATAAGATTCATTCAAATAAAAAAAAATATGGTTCATCAATGACGTCAACATGAGGTTTTGCACTCTTACAATGTCACTGAGATTTATATTACAATAGAAAACAATTCTCAGGAACACTTATCTATAAGAAAATTTTCAGATCATTCAATGAGTTGAAATTTCTGCATAAGATCTATTTTTGTTTCCATATAAGTGTATAATGCATTAAAAACTGTGAAGGTAATAGTTGAGCACAATTCATGAACAATTTCTTCAACCTCAATGGGCACATACAATCAGACGTATTTCAATCTCAAGTTTATCTATTTAATAGAGGACATTAGAAAGCACGGATCATTTATATTCTCAAGGCACTTGATTAAAAGAATTCTCTTTTTTTTGGTGTATTCAATGCATCGATGTCTGAAACCACCAACCTCAAAATTTTGCCTTACAATACTTTTTCTTTCATTGCTAGTCAATATAATATGGTATTGACTGACTCAAGTTTTATAAGGTCAACATGAAAGGAAAAAGTGCTTTTGAATGAGTCTACGATGTTCATGCGATGACAATCTATCTTCTTCCGGTAGTCAGAATCCAACAGCTCCGAGCTGAATTTTATATACGTCTGTTATGTAAATATTTGTTCTCTACCAATTGGTATATTCAAAGGAAAATCGAGTTCACATTGCTCTCGTATATTATAACCTTTGATGAGTTTTCGATTAAAAAAACATTTCTTTAGCTGTCTTCATTGTCATGACACAATTGTAAAGCGAAATAAATGTCACACTAGAAAGCAGCGTCACAAAATTACATTGAATCAAATGCATTTTAGAGAAATTCTTTTCCTGTGGAAAAAAAAATTACCGGTGGTTTCTCACGGTTGTATTATTTTAGAAATTTGCTCTGTGCTCACTCAAGTGCTAGTTTTTCATCGGAAAAAAGTTCCTCTATAATGTATTTGATTCTATATAATTTTGTGACGCTGCTTTCGAGTATGACATTTATTTTGCTTTGCAATCATGTCATGGCAATGAAAAATTACAATACAGGAGACTGATATGAACTCAATTTCGTAGGAAATAAAAAGTTGCATAAATATGTATGAAGGTTAGCTTGGAACTTCTGATTTTGATTTCCAACAGGAGGAGATCGATTATTATTAAGTGGACATATCCTTAGACTCATAAAAAAACAGCTTTTCTTCATATTGACATTATAAAACTTGAGTCAATCGATATTATATTATATTGAAATAGTTTATGTTGTTCTGTTTTTAATTTTCTATATTTTAGTATAATTTAGAAAAAAAAATTTCAATAATTCGTTGAACGAAAACGAGCACATCTTTACAAGGCATTTGTTGTTGTTAGAATATGATAATGGTAAAAAGTCGGTTTTGCGTAACTTTGAAAGAAAGGATATTAGGCGGTAAAATTTTGGATTTGTTGATGTCAAACCTTGAGTCATTGAATACACGTTAAATAGGAAAACGTTTTTTTTAACGTGTGCCTCGTATATTGGCACCATACTCAATGATCTCATTATTCCTCTCTCAATGATATTTTTTCAGCCTTATAATAGCTTTTACAAAAAAGATTTCATCCGAAAAAAAAAAGAAAACATTTGGTGAAACGTTTGATTCTGATCAATGAAGTTTGACAACAATGGAAGAAGAATACTCGGAGAAATTCTTTTAACTGTATTTCAAAACAAAAGGAAACTAGATTGAATTTATTATGGGATGATTACCAAAATTATTCAACAAAATTTGTTTAAAATTTTTTTCCATTAACTTGAGCATTAGAAAAGAATTCAAATAGCAATTCCAATGAAGGAAATTCTTTCTAGCAAAGATATCAGTAAATAAAAATGATTACCAGATTCCCAAAGATAGAGTTTCCAAACAACCCAAACCCTAGTTTTTCAGTACTTATGAAACGTAAATATAATTTCTGTTTAGACTATTTAGAATAATAGACCGAACAATTATCCACATAATAAGACGTCTTCAAGGTATGTCTCTACGATAGTGAGTAATAGGAAAGTCTAGAATTATAATCGACTTTAAAATTTCGACTTCAAATTTTGTATGAACAAAGTTCTTAATGAGATTAGTTTATTGTGCAACTAGTGGTTCGTTTAGCAAATCATTCTAGATTATTCTATTACCAATTAGTAAAGCATCATCTCGGGTGAAAAGCAATTCGGCAACTGAAAAGATTCCTTCGCGAGATAAAGCAATTTAATTGAAGATCTAATAATAGATTTTCTATAGCAAATATAAAAAAACTGACTTTAGGGCTTTTTGTTATATCTCAATCAAAAAGCGTCATAGAGAACTCATTTTATATGAAACTATTTTTACTATCATTCTATGTAGCCTAAACAAAAATTATATTTACAAGTTATAGGTATTGAAAAGTTAGAGTTTGGGTTCTCCAGAAACTCTATCTTTTGAATCTTGACGATAGTTTCTGTGTCCTAATATTTTTATTGGAAAAATTTTTCTCTAATAGAATTGCTAATTAGATTCTTTCTAGTGCTTAAGTTAATGGAAAAAAATTAAAAACAAACCTTGTTGAATAATTTTGGTATCCACTGTATATTTATTATACAATGAATGATACAAGCTAAAGAAGACTACTATAACGGTGCAAATTAATGGTCGTTGATGTCCAGCTCAAATTCAATTTTACACATTCATATCAAGTTGTACAACTCCACGTTTCGCGCTAGATTATGTCGGGAAATTTATTTTATTTGAAAGAGTATATAGAAATGAGAGTAACTTGAAAATTAGCATTGTTGACCAGTGCTATAAGGTAGTTGCTTTCATTTCTCTTTCAATTTGACAATGTATTTAAAATAAAATGTTAAGTAGCTCATACATATACAAGTGAGAAAAAAAAACGAATAAAATTTATATAAGTTTATGAGTAAGGTTATTCATGTGAATGCAGCTCTTGCTTTCGCCCATACACATCTAGTCCAAGCTACTTCCAAAAATATACACTTCACTTCTAATTATATTTATTTTATATTCAATTCAATTTTTTACGCTTTTGTCTTAAAGCAAAAAATTTAATTTCCTGTAATTTTTTCTCCTAGTTATTTCAGTTGAATTTTATGATAATGAACGATGAATTTATATCTCATCTTCTATTATTATAATTAGAAAAGCTGCCTGAAGACACTTGCCTTTGTATTTGATTTCAAGTTTATATTAAAGCTTAAAGAGGTATTCCCTCTCTTTCGTGGCAATTATATTGTCGGAAATAGTATCTATCTACTCAGTAGATTTTTGGAATCAGATATTGTCTTTAAAGATTAAAAACGCCGTTCGTTCGACCTAGCACGTTTGATCGAGCTGAAACTTTTTTCACATATACTATACTCTGTTTATGACGAGTAATTCTTTTTTGAGTTACCTTTGATATTTTGGCTTTATTATTCAAAGAACAAAAAATAAAAAGATACTCACCCTAAACAATATCTAGTACCTGTAAAAAAAAAAACTTTCAGTTCGATCGAACATAGCATATCAGAGAAACAGGGCAATGATATTTTTCGCCATTGAAAAACCAGTATCTCATAGAAACTATCATCCGAGATATGAACTATTGCTGTACTTGTGAAGATCTATTTACCCTAGAAATTTCAAATGACATTTCATAGATCGAGATAAAAACGTTTGTTATTCATATTTTCTCTTTTATTTATTCGGCACCACATAAATACCGGAAAATGCACTTTTTTTTATTACTCGAGAAACAATGAAAGAAAAATATTAATGATTATGACTATAGATATTAGAAAAAATTTAATCTTTGTTTTCAAGCCAATAATTCAGCTAAGTTGTAAATATATGCTGGTTGATTATTTTTCTTTGGATTATGTTCATAAACAGTAAGTTCTAATGTTAAAAAATTTATATGTATCGTACAGAGTGTTACAGCAGTAACATCAGTTTCTTCTTCTTGCGCACGAAATATAGAAAATTTTTCATTTTGATCATCACCCAATAAACGTATAGCATCCTGAGTCGTAAATATTTCGCCAAGTTCTTGACCACGTTTCCAACGAGTATATGATGATTCAAGTGATTTTAATTGAGAAACAACATTATCTAAACGTTCATAATGATTATAATGAACAAGATAATTTAACGCTGTTGAATATTTATTTATTTTTTCAAGATTTTCTTCATTATTAATTATAAGACGTTTACTAATATAATTTTCATTATCTATACCTATATTAGGACCTATTTCATAATTAAGTAAATATTTGGATTGATGAATAAAACCTCCATTAATACAAAATCCATATGCTACAGATACTGAATTAAGTAATTTATCTAATTCATTTTCATTTTGAATTGAAAGTAATGCTCTATTAAGTATTTGTCGTGGTAAACGATCATGTCCAACAAAATTTGGATAAAGACCATTTAATGAATATGCAAAACCATGTTTATTTATACCAAATGCATTTCCTTAAGATAGGATAAAATTTAATAAATAACTATATAAAACTTTATTCATTTACCTGGAACAGAACCAGCATAACAATGAGCTATAAATTTTTCATGTGGACTTTCACGTTTACCATCATCATATTTACCTGATTGGATATCGGCTTCAATAATATAACTTGTTGTATATAATGCCGGTGCATGATCTTCATTATGTAATAATGATAAAGTATTTGTATCTTTTCGATTAATTAATACAGTTGTACAACCTTTTTCACCAGCTTCATTTTCTAATTGTTGACACTTTTCTATTATTCTTTGCTTTTCGTCGAATAAACGATTAGCTATTCGAGTTTCATTTAAAAAATTTAGAACAAGTATTTGTTCGAATGGAACTTCTGAACCATCAGCTAAGCCACAAATTTCATCCCAATACCATGGAAATAATACACGTGTTCTTTCAATGAAACCTTGATGTAATTGATGACCATAATCGGTTTCTACGAAAGCAAATAATGTTGATAAAGTATGATCCTTAGCAATACGTTGACGAATTGATTCACGTGCTAACGTTCCTATGGTATAACTACAATCATAATGTGTACCTTTAACGCGATACACCGGTATTCTCGATGAAGTCATTGTTCGTTTTTTTGCTACAAATATAACAACTATAAAAAAAAAGAGAATATGAAGCTTTATGTAGATGTAAAATAACAAAACAAAATCCAGGTACAAAGATACCAATGATTAGATAATTTTATTCAAATTTTGAATTTAGATATACCTGAAATAAATCGAGCATAAACACCGTAAGCAGAAAAGATGAACCTCATGCGTTGTCTATCAACCTGTATTATTCTCTTTTCTTCATTATATGTTTATGCACCAAAAAAAATGATTATATAATGGAAAAATCTGTTGTCGTCATAACCGGTTAGTCGTCTGACTGACTATTATCGTTTCTTTTTAAATGACGTCTTTACTGGTTGAAATCGGACCAATAAAAAAGAAAAACAAAAGTACAAAATTGATGATGAATAGAGGCATTGTGATTGGAAACGAATTGAATATGGTAGTTGTGGTTTTGTACAACGTAATTTGATTCATTTTTATATTTTGAAAATTTTCTTAAAACATGACGAGTAGTATTGAACAAAATAGTCTTAATGGAAGAGATCTTCGAATTAAATTATTTGATTTGATGAAATCAAAAGGCATTGTTGATAATGTTAAAGTAAATGAAATTAAATTTCTTTTTTCTATACAAACTTTCTTATTATTATTATCTATTTTTATTTTGTGCGATATTACAGACGCATTTACGTGGTCGTTTAATTAATGAGTTACGTGGTGGTGTTGATGATCAAATTAAATTTTCATCTTCAATTACACAACCTACACTTCTAATTCGTGCACTTAATGCATTAATCATCGATTATTTTCAAGGACAAAGATATGATTATACAACAAGTGTTTTTATACCTGAAGCAAATATTAATGATTATAGAGTATATTGATATGATAATGATTATTTAAGAAAAACAAAAAACATTTTTTTTTGTTTTCCTTTTAGACTATGTCAGATGAAGAAATTCTTCGTTTACTTAATATTTCAACAGAATCAAGTTTTTATAAGAAAATTGTAAGAAGATTTCAAATAAATCTTTTCAAGTGTCAAATCACTTTTTGATTGAGACAATGTGAAGATGCTAGACTTTTCTATTACTCATCGAATCAACATCGTCTTAATTGAAAAGCGATTTCACATCGGGAGAGGTTCATTCATCAGATTTATCAATTTGTTTTTTTGTTTGTTTTGTTTTTAGAAATCAAATAGTGAAACAAATGGTCATACAAGTCTATTAATATCGATGCTTACATGTATTTCATCATGGTTACCAGGTTCACCTCAGAATAATAGTACACAAACCTCAAATGATTTATGGACAGGTTCTATTGCTGGATCAACTCTTGGTTAGTTTCTAATTCTATTTTTTTTTTCTTAAAATAATAATCATATATGTTTTGTTTAATGCTTAGTCAAGAAGTGTATTTATTAAGAAAGAAAATAATTAAGACACTTCTTTGGATTAGGATATCCTGTTGATGCTAGATCAATTAGTCACGAGATGAAAAAAGCAAAGAAAATTTGGAATTAGATTTTTTTTAATTTCTTGGCATAGGCAAAAGTAAACTCGGCAAATATTGACGATTGTTTCTTATGTTGACTAGAGTATCTTAAGTTTGAGACGAGAATTTTCTATTGATTAGAATTGAATTCATATCTGAGACAGTAGTTAATACATATAAAAAGTTTAATCGCATTTTTTATAGTAAAATAGGAAAACAAGAACAAAATTCTTCTTTATCATAATATCTATATTTAATTATCCTTATGAGAGATCAAGATTCCACAGACTCTATTGACAAAAGCGAGGTTCAGTTGGAATTTTTAAAAAAGTTTAAACTCTTTATGAGCACGAACTCACGTTCAAAAACAATTCAAAGTGACTAAGTGCAACGACAAAAAAGAATTAAAGACAGCTTTGTCTAAGAAATTCTACAATTAAATTAAGCAATTTATCATCGTACGAATAATAACATTCATTTGTAGTTTTTCTGTGAATATGAATCATTTTATTTTTTCTTCTGATATTACATATAATGATTAATGCAACTAACTGTCTGATGACGTATACGCTGCTCGGTAAAATTAAGTTTATATGCTGCCTTTTTTTTTTATTTTAAATGAAAAGCTTCGTCACATATGAAAAGTTCAGTTTATCGATTTAGTATTCAAAGTCAAATGTTAGAAAGAGTTTTATTGGATCTCATATGAATCTTTTCTGTAATAGCTCTTAAAAAATTTTGCATTTCTGAATTATTTTGAGCTACATGAATGAAGCAAAATGGAAACAAAAATATATTAAAATATAGCGCATCAACAACTCTATTAATATCAGCTTTGCCAAAGCCTCTTAAATCTATTCGTGATTATCTAATAAAAAAACGATAAAAAAATGAGATTTTTTGCATAAGATAGTCTCTTCTGAGAAATATCAGTTTATAAGAAGATTAGCTACCATCTCTAGAAATTACGCACTAGCTGAATTCTTTTTGCATTTTTTATTCGACATCTTTCAGGTCATAGAAATGTAACAGAGAAAATTATTTGAAAAAAAAAAACGTTTTTTTTTTTTTATCGTTGCAAAATAGTCAGGCAATAAGAACGATTAATTTACTCACTCTTCTTTTTTGTAGAAAAAGCTATATTTTGGTGTGAAAACCAAGAATAAATATAACTTCCGATATACTATTAAAAAGAGCACTCGTTACACTACAAAAATTACCATTAAATGTGTTTATTCATTTCCGTTCTGATTTAAAAAAAAAGAGTTAATAGAAAATAAAAATACTGTTGCTCGACAGTAAAATTTGGGCTTTTTCTTCTTGATTTATTCTGGAAAAATATATCTGGCACAATACTTGTATTTTAAATCATGATTTTACAGGACGATCCTGTTGTGTTCATCTCTGTTTTATATATATTCTCTTTTTCTTGATATCATTTTTGTCATCAAGTACTTTTTCATTGCTCTATTTTTTATTGTTATTGATAGTATCCGCTTTGTACTAAGATCTAATGATCATAAAATTCCATAAGCTCATATGTTTCAATATTTTTTCCTGTAATGCACGTGTCATTCAAATTAATGGAAAACTTTAGTTGTTGCATTTGCAAAATGATCTGTTCTGTACTCAGTTCTAGTTCAAATATTTTTCTTACTAACAAAAAACAAAATTCTCTTGTTTCAGAAATCAGCTATATGATGTAACAGAGTTTGATACTTTTGCATCGCATACTAACTGATCGATCCTCTAATAGACAATTCGAATTATACACCATCTTGATGAAATTCAACAACACTTTCGGAAGATATGTCAATCTCACTGGATGCAGAGTGTGATTTTCTAAAGTTTGAAAACAATTCAAAATCGATCACTTGAGAAACTTTGAAAACATATGTCGACCGAATTAATGTATCTAAAAATTTTCGTATTGTAGATATTATTGTTAATTAAGGAAAATCTCAGAGAGTTCTTAAGAGAGACAAAAAAAAATGCGAAATATTGATAATGATCACTCTATATGAACCTATCTTTTCTTTAGAGTCGTGCGGAACAACATTTTTTCGCATGACGTTGTTGTACTCGAATCCTACAGAGTAATCCCATATGTCCTACTGCTCTTTACTTTTTATTATTAGAGTTACTGTGCGTGTGGGTGTTTCTAAAGTAAATAATATGTTATCGTACGTGTTGAGTGTGGGAGAATGACAAATATCTTGCTAAGTTGTACGTGACTCTATTTTATAAAAGCTCGTAATAAATGAAAAATATGTGTTAAGAAGTATTTTAATCAGTTAAGTTTAAAATTGAGTTGAGTTTTTATTTAGATGAAAAATTGAATAATCTGGACGCTATGTATACGAATCGTCGTGATGATTTAACATCAATGCATAATTTATCAACGGAAGAAAAATTATTATTATTTCAAAAAAATATTGAATTAAGAACTAAAGAAAGTCTTAAACAACAGGTAAAATAATTCTATGTATTTGTATGAGTGAATTGCAACTTTTTGATACGATTGACATGAAAAATTGAAAGCAGATCTAAACAGTTTTTGAGTAGTACATTTTATTATACTCTATGTTTGTATTACACAGCAAACGTTTCTCAACACTTTACTACATATTTGTCAAGATACGCCTTACTTCAGTATTATACAGAACGGTATTTTATGTGAAAATCAGTTATAGAAAAGAAGCAAGTTAAATGATGTAGGATACAACTTATTTTGACTCTCTATTACTTGAAGTATTATATGAAAATTGTCGTTTTACATTTCATCGGTTAATGTAAACTTCTCGAGAACGCTAAGAGAATAATAACTAAATTTTTAAATGGTAAAACAACTCTAAGTGCTATATATACGATAAAAATTTGAGCAAAACCGGATGGATTATTCAAAAGTTATGGGAGGACGAAAATTGTAATAATGTTGGTCTACAAAATGAGTAAAAGTTGAAATTTTTTTTATTAATTTGTTCACCACACAATGGCTTTTATTTTGAATACTTTCACTTTTCGTCTACGCGTAGAGAGACGGAAAAAATTGAAAAATAATGTTATACGATATAAAAATGAATAAGTGTCTATCATAAAATGTTTCGAACGAATAAACGTGAAAAAAGAGAGAAATAAGAAAGGTGAATAAGTCAACAGAGCACTTCAGGATATACAAAATGAACCATCCGTTATCTTTTCTTTAATGTTTACGAGGGAATTATCCGAACTGACATTCATCGTTTGAGTTCATATTGGATTCACAAGAATGTCTCGGTAATACTGGAAAAATCTTATAAGGATTCGTCCTCATGGATCTCTGGACCCGGATTATGATCATTTTATTGAATTATCGAGTCAGCTTCAGATATTTATGGAAAAATCAAATAATTGCCTTCCGACGTGAAATATTGTTGATAGATAGTTCTGATAACTTTGGGAATATTCCGAAAATATCAGCCTAAAACAATGTTCCTTTGTCGAGATATTCAAATTTCAAAGCATGAACG